CCCAGTGTGGCTTCAGCAGGGTGACGGTGCAGGCGCTCCAGGCAAGTCTCCACAACTCAGGGTTTAGGGTTTCGGCTTTCTAGGGTTTAGGGCTGATGGCTGGGACTTTGGGGTTGGGCTTTAGAAGTGTGCGCAACTGAGATGTGTTTTAATCAGGTTCTTCAGCTTGTTTGCGATTTCTCACCCCCTGTAGCTGCGCGTTTTTCTTAACCGGTTCTCTGCCCCTAGCCCACAGCAGCGCTTTAGGATTTAGGGTTTAGGGTCTATTCTTTAGAGTTTAGGGTTTACGGTTTAGGGTTTATGGTTGTATGTCAGGCATGCGGGGTGGAGCAAATCCCATATTTCGACATATTGTCGGACCCGGAGCTGCGGGAAGCTGCAAAAGTATTTGGCCAGTGGCAGACCTTCCCTCAGGTGTACGTAAACCAGGAGCTGATCGGGGGCTGCGATATCATTTTGGAAATGTTCAGAAATCAATCCCTACATGAACTTTTAAAAGATCACAATCTCGTGGAGCCCACAAACCCTGAGCCTCAATCTACAGGCGCGCGGCCACCCCACCGTTCTACTCTGCATCCTTAACCTGAAACCACTGCCAGCACTGTAGTGGCCAAAGCAGAGTGTAGGGTTTAGGGTTTAGGGTTTAGGGTCTAGGGCTGGCTGTGCTCATGCTGACAGGCAGAAGCACCAGCTGAGAGTTTAAATGAGAATATTCAGCAGGCGCACGTCCCCCAAAGGGCAGCAGCACAAAGTCCCCGTCGGGCTTTCTGAAGACAGAAAGAAACACAAAAAGAAACAAAAGCAAGCAAAGATGGGCCTTTTTCGGATTGTTATGCTGCAGTAGTACATACGGAATGGGTTTAGGCTTTGCGGCTGCAGCTTACGGGCTGCGGGCCGGTTTTTGCGATTAGATAGTTGCGCTGAGGGTTTAGGGTTTAGGGTCTAAGGTTTAGGTCTGACAATGGTGCAGAATCGTGCCGCTTGTCTTTCTCCTCTGCGGCCTCTACAGTATCAGCGAGCCTATTCAGTAGGGTGGCCTGCAGACGCCACAGCTCAGCTGTACGTACACCTCAACAATTTCGTCTAAACTAGCTAGCTAGCTAGCTACCTTGCTAGCTAGCTTACTAGGGGGCTATCTTTTCGGATAGCGAACTGGTTAGCTAGCCAGTGAAGTCTGCTGTTGGTCAGTCCGTTGCGGCTCGCACTCGAGTCGGCGTCCTTCTCATAGAGCTAGGTAGCTACCCTGGAAAGTGAGTGGGTGGCTAGCTGGCTAGCTATCCAAGCAGCTGTGTAAGTGCGGGAGCGTAGCGGGCTGGAAGGATTCCTTCGTTTCAGTTTAGCCAAGCAATTACCTGCTTTACTGCAGCAAAAGCTTTTTGCTGCTGCTGCTGCACTTGCTGCGGCAGCTGCGCTTGCTGTTGCTGCTGCGCTTGCTGCTGCTGCTGTGCTTGCTGTTGCTGCTGCACTTGCTGCTGCTGTTGCACTGGCTGCTGCTGCTGGGCTGGCTGCTGCTGCTGCACTTGCTGCTGCTGCGCTTGCAATTGCCGCTGTGCTTGCAACTGCTGCTTCGCTTGCTGCTGTATCTGCTGCTGCAAAAGCCGCTGCGCTCGGGCGTACAGACAGTCCGCAGCTTCTCGGATCTCTTTGGGCTTCCTGAGCTGCCACTCTTGCTGCAACAGCCACTGTCCGAACTCCTTGACTGGGACGCCTCGCAACTTCTGCTGAGCATCTGCTACAGCTGCGGCATCTTTGTTTTGCTGCTGCTCTGCAGCAGCAGCTGCTGCAGCAGTCGCTGCAGCTGCACGGCCTTTCGTTGCTGCTGTTCCGCTTACCGTTTTGAAAGAAGCAGACAGTGCAGGATTTGGTGGGGCTGCTGCTGTTGCTGCTGCTACTGTTTCCGCTTTTTTTTTCGCTTCTTCAAAGCTATTGCATATATACGCCTCTAGAGCAGAGGAAGCAGCAGCAGACAAGGATAAGCCAATGAACTTCTTGTCTTGCTGCAGCTCGCTGCAAAAGCGTCGGCATTCGTTCCACGGGATTATGGCTGCGTCTGCTGCTGCTGCTGCAGCTGCTGCTGTTTCGGTTGGTTGCCTAGATGCCGTCATGCGACTCGGCCTGCGGGGCCCAGCTGCTGCAGCACCAGCAGCAGTGCCAGCAGCTGCTGCTGCTGCTGCAGCACCTTTGCTGCTTGATTCGGTGGCTGCCAAAGTCTTAAGGTGGCCATTCACCACCTCCAGCTGCCAGGGCTCCAAGCAGCAGCTGCTGCTGCAGCTGCTGCTGCTGCTACTGGAAACGGCCATTCGGCTTGTGGCTCTTTGGTGTTGCTGCTGCTTAGTGGCTGCCTCATTGCGCTTTTGTGTCTTTGTTGGGGGTTCAGGACACAGCAGCTGCTGCTTCAAAGAGGGCCGCAGGTTGTTAATTTCTTCTCTCTCCTTCTTTGCTGCTGCAGCAGCAAGCAGCGCGAGTCTCTCATTTTTCGAAAAACAAACGGAAAACTCGAAGCAGCCGTTTGATACGTAAGATGCAGCCGCAGCCGCGTCCTTTTGCTGCTGCTGCTGCTGCAGCAGCTGCTGCTGTCGCTCCTGCTGCTGCTTCGAAAAGTTGCGCTTAGGCCTGGCGGCCGGAAGCCCAGCAGCAGTGAATTGCCTCTCTTCTTTTTCAACTGGCAGCAAATCCAGCAGACGCAGCTCACGGCAGGCTTGTGCAACTCGGGGTCTTCAGAGCCACAGCAACAGCAGCAGCAACAAGCGCAGCAGATTTTTTGTGCAGAAATCCAAGCTGCTGCCTCCAGCAGAGCTTATGGGCAGCAGCAGGAGCTCTCGTGAGTAGAGCAGCAGCCCATAAGCTTGGCTGGAAACTGCGGTCTCAATTGTATCACAAGAAGGCAGTTGCAGCGCTAAGTAGCCGTTGCTGCTGCTCTAGCTTTCTCCTGTGCCCGCGGTGCTGCAGCAGGAGCTGCTTCAGCAGCTGCTGCTTCCGCTGCTGCCAGGACGCCTACCTGTAAAGAGTCTCAGCAGCCACTGGATTGTCCTTGAGATTAAGCTGGGAGAGCCTGAGGAAAGAAGCCAGCGTAGTGAGCTGCTGGTTGAGGTCTTGGATTTTGTTGGCAGCAAGAGAAAGCAGCTCGAGGCTGTTTCTGCTGCTGGGCAGCAGCGGAGCAGCAACGAGCTCGTTGTTATCTGCGCAGACTTCCTTGAGGCCCCCGCAAGCAGCCAACGCAGCCAAAGACCGCAGCCTATTGCTGCTGAGCCACACATAACGCAGCGAGCGCAGGCAGCTCAAGTCTGTGGGCAGCTGCAGCCACCCCAGTCCGCACAAGTGCGCCTCTTCAACAGCAGCCAGAGAAGCAGCAGTCAGGCCCAGCCGAGACACAGACACACCACTTCCACCAGTCGACGAGCCTGCTGCTGCTGCTGTTGCTGCTGCTGTGGGTGCTGCTGGCGCTGCTGCTGTGGCTGCTGCTGCTGGTGCTGCTGTTGCTCTGGCTGCTGCTGCCTGCGCCTCCGTGCGTCTCGAGGCGTTTGCTGGGGCTGCTTCCTCCAAGGAAGCTGTTGGCGTTGGCGCGTGGCTTTCTTCTTTAGGTGCTTCCTCTTCGGCTGCTGCTGTCATTGCTGTTGCTGTTGCAGCTGCTGCTGCCGTTGCGGCTGCAGCTGGAGCTGCTGCTGCAGTTGCCTCAGGCGCAGCTACTGCTGCAGCGCCATTTGGCTCAGCGGCCTCGCTGCTGCTGCTGTGCTCAGCCTTGCGGTTGGCTGCTTTATGTCTTTCCGCCATGCTGCTGCTGAGCCTGTAGAGGCTGCTGGGGGCGGGCAAAGACTGCAGTGCATTTGAATTCCGTTTATTTGAAATGAAGTGTAGGCTAGGGAAGACTCAGTTCAAATATTCATTTGTGTGTATACTCGTAGCAAAGTGCAACTACAGTGTCCAATCCACAAAGCACTTCTTCTGAATCTGTAGATAGTTGATGCAGGGCCTTTTGGATCCTAACTTTATGGCAGCTGAAGCTTTATTGTTCCTTCGTAGTTTCGAAGTTCCAGATGTCCGTACACTGAACTGCAGCTCCAAATGCTGGGAGGTTTGCATACACTTCACCTGCTACTGAAAAAATTAGCATGTCTCTCCTCCCCTCACATTTCGAATTACTTTTGTTCTTTTCTCATTTTCAAATATTAATTTTATGCCATTTAGTCTGCCACTTTTATCGACCGCCAGCCGACCTCCAGCTGCTCCTGCTCGTAGCGAGGCCTGGCCAAAAAGCTTTATTGAAAGCCATATTTTTACAAGTGAAAAACCCCAAAATTAAAAAGAAGACAGTAAGAAGCTAATTTTAGTTCTCTTGTGCAACATATCCCCGCGAAGAACCGAAAGAGCAGAGCCCCATTTCATGCCTCGACGCACAGCGCACAGTCGCGGCCCCTGTCCACCAAAAGCCCGATGCCACTCAATGAAATCAGATAAATGATAATCAACAGTACATAGTAATAAATAAAACTTGTACTTAAAGAAGTGCGGCAAGAACTGTTAATGCATGCAACGGCTACAGCCAGCTGGAGCACCCCAGTGTGGCATGCTCAAGGGTTTAGGGTTTGCTGTTAGGAAATGACGCCAGCAGAAACTTCAGGCCTCAGCTTTTCTTAAAAAGCTGAAAAAATGAAGGGCTTAATTCTTCAGGCTGTGGAGGCGCACACAAAGAGCCCGAAACGCTAAACCCCAAACGCTGTATGGTGTCGTTTTCACGTGTAAGGACACCGCAACGGATGCTGGGGCATTCTCGTGTCTGCGCCTTCGTACACTTCTTTGTTTTTGTCTTTTTGCCCTCCTGTGTCTTCTCCTTTTCAATTATCAAAGATCACTGTGCCCGCTCCTCCATCTCTGCTGCTGCTGCCGGTTGTACAGCTACTGCGCGTGCTGCTGCTTCGGATCTTCCGCTATCCCGTGGTGCTGCAGCTACCACCGCCACAGGGGAGCGACTCGGCTGTTTGCTGCACACATCGTACACACTGATGGAAAGGCAGCAGCTGCAGCAGCAGCTGCAGCCGCAACAGCAGCAGCAGCAGCAGCAACTGGCGAAGGAAGTTGAGGAAGTACGGCGCATTAGTGCGCAAAGATACAAACAGCACCGGCAACAACAGCAGCAGCTGCTGCAGCAACAGCAACAACACCTGCAGCAGCAGAGGCAATGCCACTCGCAGCAGCAGCTGGGTGCGTCTGAACCGCACCGCTCCCCCGTGCCTGAGCCTGCGCAGCAGCAGCAGCAGCAGCAGCAACAGCAGCCTGAACGACAGCAACAACTAACCCAGCTGCGTCGCAACAATGACCCCATATGCATCAGCAGCAGCGACAGCGAGGACTCAGAGGCAGCTGCCAAATCTGCCGTAGGGAAACTGAAGCAACCGAACAGCAGCAGAAGCAGCAGCAGCAGCAGCAGCAGTTCCAGCAGCACCACAAGCAGCTCTAGCAGCAGCAGCGGCAGGAGTAAAGCAGCGAGACCAGCTACTGAGTCCCCCAAAAGCAGCAAAAGGAGCGGAATGAAAGACCGCAGCGACGGTGGCAACAGCACAAAGAAGCTTGCGCGTGATGGCAGCAGCAGCAACAGCGGCAGCAACAGCAGCAGCAAAAGCAGCAACAGCAGCAGCAGCAGCGATAGAAGCAACAAGCAGGTGCACCCTGACTACCCCACAGGAGGTGAGGGCTGCAGCAAGAGTGAAACCCTGGAGAGCAGCAGCAGCGGCAGCGCCAGCAGCAGCAGCAGTAGCACAGCTACAGCAGATGGCTTGCTTCCGGACTCTGAACTCCCAATTTGGAGAGACGAATTTGACCTTCTTACTTGGTGAGACACAGAAGAGCCCGCTGCAGCAGGAGCAGCAGCTGCTGCTGTTTCTGCTGCTGCGGCTGCTGCTGACTGCCCTATATGCTGCTTTGGTGGTTGCTGCTTCTGCGGCTTGATCTCTTTCTTTTTGCGAGCTGCGCCCGTCGCAGCCTGCTGCAGCTGCTGCAGAACCTGCCGCTGCTGCCCCCGTCAGAAGTGCTGCTGCTGCTGCTGGCATTTGCATTTATTCTTCAGGAACCTGGACGGATTAGATGAGCGTTTGCTGCGGCTGCGGACAGCTGCTGTTTGCTCGATTGTGCTGCAGCTGCGGCCCGCCGTTGTGCTGCTGCAGGAGGTGGTTGACAGCAGCGCGAGGCTGCTGCAGCAGCGGCTGCAGCAGCACTACAGCTTCTTCTTCCCAAGCCCGCCGCCGTACGCCTTCCCAGCAGTAGACAGCAGCAGCAGCAGCGAAGCAGCAGCAGCAGCAGCAGGCCCTGTCGTGCCCGGGTGCCCCTACTACTGCGCCGTGCTGCTGTGCAAGCACCAAATGCTGCCGCCTGCGCGGGAGCAGCTTCAGACTCTGTGGTATCCGGGCAGCAGCATGGGTCGGCACTTGCTGTTTGGCTGCTGCAGCAGCAGCAAACGGCCCCTGGAGCCGTTGCTGCTGTTGACTTCCCACCTCGAGTCCATGCGCCCAAACCGGAAGGAAAGGACGCAGCAGCTGCAGCACTGCTTCGACCTCATGGCTGCTGTCACGGCTGCAGACCCGCAGCAGGAGCTGCAGCAGCAGCAGCAGCAGCAAATGTTCGCAGACGCCTTTCCAATGGGAAAGCCCCAGAAAGTCCGGACAGCAATTCTCGCTGGGGACCTTAACCTGCGGGACGACGAGCTGCAGCTGCAGCAGCAGCAGCAGCAGCAGCAGAATGGGGGCAGGTTCAAGCGCGCCCACAACGAATGCAGCAGCAGCAGCAACACAATAATCCCAGAGGGCGCAATAGATGCATGGGAGTTTCTGGGCAGGGACATGAGGTGTATGCACACCTGGGATATGCTGCGAAATGACAACCACGCAGAAGTCAAACGCAAATTCAAGCCTCGCTGTCGCTTCGACAGAATATATGTTTTTGCTGACCCCCCATTGTCTGCTGCTGCTGCTGCTGCTGCTGCAGCGGACGTCCCTGCCCCCCCCGAGGCAGAGCACGCGAAGCGTCATAAAAGCACCAGCAGCAGCAGCAGCGACGTTGCTGCTGCTGTCTGGCAGCCAATTAAAATGCGGCTTGTGGGGACTGAGAGGCTGCAGAGCGTGGGCTGTTTCCCTTCGGACCACTTTGGTGTGTTGTGCCGCTTTCGACGCGAAACGAAGAAGCAGAATTAAATTCAAAACTTTGCAAATGTGAATGTTAGAAGTTCAAAACTGTGCAAACAGCTTTGACATTCACAGTTGCACAATTTTGAATATCTGAGTTTGTTGCTAGAGACGAGCAGCAGAGGGCTTGGCAACTCCTTTTCAGCAGCTGCGTTGGCCTTTTTTCGATCGGGGCTCTTGGGAATCTTCGTTTTTTTTTGTTTTAAGCGAATGGGAAAAGTTGTTCTTTGTGTCGTATGGGGCGAGCCTCTCTCAGTCAACCTAGTTAGTGTAGGTACAGTTCTCGAGCAGTTGTGGAGGCATTAAGGACATTAAGTGAGTCGCTGAAGTGGAAGGTAAAGGGAACTAGTGAGACGGGGAAAGGAGCCCGCCCTTCCAGCTGTCTTTACAGCGGAGGCTAAGTGCGCCACGTTATGAACCCGTCGGCTCTGGATAACTAAATGGTTCAAAGCATTTTTCGTGCTTTTGGCGCTAAGCCTCCCCCGTAAGCATTTGCAGCAAACTATGGAATAACTGGCGACACACGAGAGGCTCACACAGACCGCACAGACAACCGAGTGGAGCTTGTCTGTGAGCCTGCTAGCAAGTTTAGGCCAAACGACTCAATGTAAAATGTATGTTTCAAAACTATTTAACTGAAAATTAATACTTCATTACTTCGGGCTTGAAAGGCCAAGGCTGCTTGCACAGGGTCCCGTTGGTTTCCAGTGGACCGATTTGATGTGTATGTACACCTCACGCGACCACTTAAAGCTTCTAGTGGTCTGGCTTTGAATTCGTGCACTAAATTAGCATATTTTCACTCTTCTTTCTCTGTTCCATTTTGAACACTCGTTTTCAGTCAATTTTTCGTGCCGCTTCCCACATCAGCGCCTCTCCCTCTACAACAGGTTCGCTCTTCTCGGAACGTGAACAAGCTGTTTCGGGTGCTTAGCTCTCATCTTATTCTGGTTTTTACTTATTCAGACCGGCTTCTTGGCAAATTACCTTCACGTGGAGAGCCTGGACTCCTTTTCCCGCCTACATTTCCATTGACAGCATGTTACACATAGTGGAAGTCCGCGCTCAGTGAACGCGAACCACAGCATCACCCCATCCCCCGCTGCAATCTCCCCACAGAGGGGGTTCATGCTGCCTTTCAAACGGGCGCGCTTATTTCTGGGCCGCCAGCTAGCTGCTGGTCAGGGGTTTGAACCTCAGACTCTTCGGACTAGCTCTGGAGGTTTCACACTAATGCCTGCCAAGCCCCCGCCTTTAGCTTCGAGGGCTTGTCCAGGGCCTTCCCGAGGGCCCCTGAGGGGGACGTGGCTTCTCAGGGCGTCGTTTCTGACACTGCTGCTATGCTGCAGCCCAGACTGCGTCGAGTCAGCAGCAGCAACAGCAGTGGCTAGCGCTGCTGCAGCTGCTGCAGCTTTGCTGCTGCCTCTCCCGGTGCAGTGTAAGAAAGTCTTTGGGATTGCCCGGGGGGGCAAATTCGAAGCTATAGGGGATTTCTGCTTTACCGTCCCTCCGGGTTCAAGTGGCGCCTTAGTGGCTGAAACGGTAAGGTGTATGTACACGTGGGCACTGTCAAGAACCCTTCTTCGGTCCACCCGTTTTTATAATGCATTTTGTCCCACAGAGTTCTTCAAACGGGCTGCAGCAGCCGATACGCCTGAGGCTGCTGCCGCCATTGCCTTTGCTGCTGCTGCTGCTGTTGTTGCTGCTGCTTGGGTGTTCGTACACCGTGCAGATGTTGCAGCAGGAAGGACACGAGCTGTTGATACACTCCAAGTCTGCCTTCGAAGAATACAGACAAGCCACAGAAGCAGCAGGGGTCCCCTTTGGTGCATCAACTGATGATGAATTAACAGCAACCTGCAAGGCCCTGCAGAACAACGCCAGAGTCAGAGAGTCTCTAGGTAGAGCCCTGACTCTAGACCCTAAACCCTAAACCCTAGATTGGCGAGTTGTTGCGGCGTAGCGCAGTACGAGAACGCTTCGGTCTATGGGGGAGTCCCGGGGTGCAGACACAGCGTAAACCCTAGTATATGTGGGGGCAGTTAGAAGGGTTTAGGGCTTAAGCTCTAGGGTTTAGGGTTTAGGCCGTGCTTTCTTTTCAGCTGGAGTTCCTCCGGAGGAGCAGACGAAGACTGGGGCCCCCGCGTTCTTTGAACTTAATTTAGTAAGGCAGCTTGGAGCTGAGCTCAAGGGTTTAGGGTCTAGGGTTTAGGGTTTAGGGCTTTGCCCCGAGGGCTTTGCCCCGAGGGTTTTGGGGAACTGCGTTCTGCGTGCATTTCTTTTTTTGAACTCAACACTCCCCGATATAAACACTTGAGGGTTTGCGGGTTAGCGGCTGTGAAATACATTTTAGGGTGGATGGTTTAGGGTTTAGGGTGAAGAGTTTAGGGTTTGGCCTTCAGGCATTCAGGCTAAGAGGGTGAAGGTCTAAGGTTTATGGTTTAGGGTTCAGAATTTGCGGCGTGGCCTCAGGCTATCGACTCGAACATGGATGGGAGGGAAGTTACAGCTTGGGTAAACCTCTGCAGCTTTTTCTGTCTAAACTTTAAACCCTAGAGTTTAACCCCTAATGCACCTTTGTCCACTTCCCCACTCTCAGTGCACACACTCAAGTCTAGGGTTAAGGGTTTAGGGTTTAGAGTGTATCCTCAGATAACGAGGTGCGGGGAAGGCCAAACACTAAATGCAGCCTACTCCGTAACTTTTCTAAACCCCGGAGGCTTCTTCACGAGGCAGTTCTCTTGCGAAGATCAAGGTGCGAGGTGGTTAAGGGTTTACGTTTAGGGTTTAGGGTTTATGGTTTATGGTTTAGGGTTTAGGACTTTCCTCAGCAGTCGGCCACTCAGCTGTCAAAATCATGACTCTGCTGTTCTAGCTGCTACTCTTGTTAATAAAACTTCTTATAATAGTAGCATCAGGTCCGCTGCTGCTTCTGCCAGCAGCAGCAATAGCAACGGAAGCTGCAGCAGTTCTTGCTGCTGCTGGGGCATTCGTTAATGTTGTTTCTTTTGCAGGTCTTCTTCAGCTGCACATGGTGATGTCATTATTTGCCACAGCTCTTTGCTTAGCCAGCTACAGGGTGTACAGACAGCTGCACCGGCAAGCATCTCCCGTTGCTGCTGCTGCTACTTGCTGCTGCTGCATGCTGGGGCTCTCCATCCTACTCCAAACCCTTCACCTAATCGCCTATGCAGTGGTCAGCCACAGCTGCTGCAGCTGCTGCTGCGCCTGTTGCTGGTTGTCATCCTCTTGTTTAGTGCTTAGCATTTTGGGCTTAGGGTTTCGGCCCTAGGGTTTAAGCTGAAGGGTGCATTTGAAGTCTACGCAGTGTATGTCGTTGTCTTGTCGCAACTCGGTTTTGTCGCTATTTAGGGTTTAGGGTTTAGGGTTTAGTTCCTGTGTTCTGGGGCAATTGGGGTTTAGTCTCTAGTCAGGGTTTAGGCTTATTCTCGTTTGTTCCCTTCTCCACAGAAGAGAGCTAGCAGTAAACCATATTTGCTCATTTGAATTTATGCCACTTTTTGTTTAACTTTGTCTGTTTGTTGCATTTAGGACGGTTTAGGCTTCAGTGTCTTTAGGCTTATCAGCATGATGCTGCTGCTCGGCTGCCGCAGCGCCGGTTTGCTGCTCTTCTTGCTGCTTTCGGCCAAGGGCGTAGAGAGCGGGCACACAGACAGGCGAACAAGTGGAGTCGTGCGCACAGAAGCCCTAAACCCTAAACCCTAAACCCTAATGACGAAACACTTTGCATCAGTTCTTTCTTCCAAAGTGTGAGGTTTGGGGCCTGCAGTTTAGACTTCTTCGCGTAGAATCGAAGGCTTAGTGCTGAGGGCTTCAGGCTTGGGCTCCCCGCCATGGGGTTTAGGGTTTAGGCTTGTGGCTAGGATTTAGGGTTTGGCTTCAGCAGCTCCGGCGCAGCAAATCTGCGGGCTGCTGCTGCGTCTGCTGCGCCTCAGCTTTCCGTCGTAGCGGTGGGCGTGGCGGCGTCGGCTGTTGTGAACTTTTTAGGTGCTGGTGCTTCATCTATGGATCTTAACCCTTCAGCAATTTACACAACAGGTGAATCTTGTTTTTTTCTGCTTTTTCTTTTGATTTCTTTTCCTTTTGAATTATTTTCCCCAGTATTTCTTTTGCTTTCTTATTCTTTCAACTTGGTTCTAAATTCCTTCGAGCCTTTGTTCAGTCTTTGTTCAGAACCAGGCGCCGCCCCGCACTCGCCTTGCTGCAGCTGTGCGGGTTCTTCTTTTGTCTGCTGATTTTGCGCCTTTTTCTCTCTTTCCGCCTTGTTGTTCTCCTTTTTTCTCGTTATTTTCTTTCATCTTCTTCCTTTGGCTCTTCTGTTGTTTTTCCCTTTCCTCCCTTCTCCTCTTTCGCTGCTCTTCGCAATTCTTTTCTCTCTTTTCGAAGTGTTCCGTTTCTCTCTGTTGCTCTTTCTTTGTCTATTCGCTGACACACTGTCTCCAGGGTTTGCTCTGTCTCTTGGGTCTGTTGCAGTTTGGGCTTTGCCTCTACACATCGTCACAGGTGTTGTTGCAGGTTAGTGAATATGCCCCTATGGCTTAAAGTGATGCTTTTAAAGTTTCCTGAAGGCGCAATATAAAGCAAAGGGTTGGGGATTTGGATTGGCCTTTTAAACACAGACTCACGGTTTAGAAATAAGCATTTGTTTTTGTTTCTTTTTCAGTGTTGCTGATGGTTTTTTCTCTCCTCAACGCGGATGCGGCTACGCAAATGCCTCAGAGGAGACTCTTCGTTCGTCTTTGCTTCTGGTGTGCTTGCAGCTACTGCTGCTGCTGCTGCTGCTGCTGCTGCTACTTCTGCTGCCGTGACTCTTGGCGCTGTAGGGCCAACCATGCCTTGCTATGCTTTTTTTTCCTGTTTTGTTCGCTGCTGCTACTGCTGCTCGTTTATTGGCGGCCACTGTTGGAGGAGCTGCTGCTGCTGCTGCTACTGCTGCTGCCGCCGCTGCACTTGGTTGGTTTGTTTGCGCAGTGTCTGTTTCAGGGGAACAAGCTACGTTTTGGCGCCTCTTTTCCTTATTTGCTTTCTCAGCAATTACCCGTGAGCGTTTTTCACAGATAGAGCAGAACTAAGTAAAATGCATGGACAGAAGAAGAGCAGGCGAGCAGTTACGCCAGACACGTCCACAGAGCCAGAGCCAAAAGGTGCAATGAGTGAACATGGATGATCATCTGGGTCACCTTTTTATTGCATTGCTAGCACTTTTTTGCTGCTTCTGCTGCTTTTTTCTGCAGCTTGATGCAGGCATACGTTCTGATCACAGTTGAGTTCGTTTGCCTTTTCAGTGAGTCAAAAAGCAAGCTCAGAATCGTAACAGCTGCAGCTGCGCAGCAAATTCCGACCCTCACAAAGAGCATGCTATGTGCTGCTCAACGCAAAGTTTCACTTGCATTAGTTCTTAATTCTTTTTTGTCTAGGGTTTTATTGCTAGACCTTAAGGCCGACTCTCAATGCTTGTTGCCGCTGAGACTTTTGCGCTGTATTATGCGTCGCAGCTCTACAGCGTATTGCCTGTCGCGGGCTTCAGCAAAAAGGCACACAAATGGGGGAAGTCAAATCTCCTCTTCCAGCAGCAGACCTTCCCTACACAGATATTTGATGGGTACGTGGACCTCAAGTAGTTGCACTGAATGCTCGTCTCACATTGGTGAGGTCTACGTACACTGCAAATGTCTGAGCTGCGAGCTCTCTCCAGTCAGCTAAAGACTATGTTTACCGAAATGTCAGGTTTACGCATAACTCAAGTAGGTGAGGTGCGTTCGTTCGCGAAATAGCCGAGGTACATGAAATCTTTAAAAGTCACAGGTGTACGTACACAGATGCCTTTATGCGGCGAAACCAAGTGAAAGAAGCTGAGCAAAGCTTTCAGCAGCAAAATCTACTTTTGCTGCTGCAGCGCCTGCAGCCGAAGGTGCTGCTGGTGCTGATGCGCCTCTAGCTGCTGCGACTCGAGCGCCTATTATTGTAACTGTTACTACAGAGCCGGCGCAGGGATCTCCCGTAGCCTGCTTTCCGTTACGACTTTGAGGCTCGGTTTTTGGGCGTGAGGCCCCAAGCAATACTCGTAGTGTGTTCGTCTTCCTTCTATGGCCCCTACGCAGCCAGGTGGTGGAAAAAAACTAGAAAAGCTAGTTGGTTAGGAACATGAAGACGGCTAAGAAGTGCAGCTCAGTGCTGAGCTAGCTGATGACCCCCCCAAAAGGGTACATTGAGTGTGTCGAGGGTGGCGGAGCCAGCAAATCGCTGCAGAGGTGCGCGGCGTAGGCGTGGCAGCTGCGATCTTCTGGGATCTCTAGGCAAAAGTTAGAGGCGTTTTTCAATGCTGGTGTATTAGGCAGCCAAGATTGCCTTACTAACCCGGCTGCTGTTGAACAGCCAGAGCCAAGGGGTTAATTAACTTCGAGGAGTGTCGTAGGGATGGCGCAGTGGGGATGGCGCAGTGACAGGGCTAGCCATGTGTTGGGATCGTGAACCTTTTGGGGCATTTTTTTAGTGAAGCCCAAATCTCCAGTGATCTGTTTCGGGGCGAAAGTGACGAAATCATAGAGTAGTTACATGACGTTCCCACTCTGACAGAACAGCTCATACAAGTTAAAATAGAAGGGTATTCCCACTGTGAAAAGCTGAAAGTGACAGATGTAATGGTCCAGCTGTAAAGCGCGTTAAAATTCGGCCTAATTTCCCTTCAAAACAGGTCTACTACAAGTTGACGATACGCGTGTCAGAAATAACGGTGGTGCTCTTAGGCACACTTCGTAAGTAGCAATTCCAAATGAAGGGGAAAGCGCAGCAGGATTGCTTGAGCTCGGATAGAGTTTGTGGCCCAATTTATGGGTTTAGACTCGTGTCGATTCCACCCAAATTGAACACGGGGCGTGGTCTACAATTCTGTAAAAGGTGACAGGGGCCCTCCTATAAGCGTTCCTGACGGCTAACAAAACAGCCCAGTCTACAACTCGCCGTCCAAAAGATAAGTGTTAAAGAAGGGGGCTCTGGAGTGCAAGGTCCTTGGAATGGTGAAGCACAGTTACTGTATACCCACAGCGAAGGACCTCGCCGCTGTTCCTCGTACCCACGTTGATATCACTTGAAAGAATATGCTCTTTCGCTCTTCCGACGCACTGAGCAGAAGCTCACAATCTTTTCATCTTGGATCCTAAACGGTCTTCACTCGAATAACCCACAATTTCAGAGGGTGCAAAACCCCTTACGCTACACAATAATGCCTTCGGCAATGCTATCGGTGCTGTGCGTGAGCAGCAGCAAATGGCGGTCGCTTTCCTCAGTCAGATAATTAGCAATACTCATACAAGATTTTCTATATATGGCTAGGAGAGACTAGCCATAGGCACAGCTCGAGGCAGGTGAAGCCGTTTCATATGCGCTGCTTTGGTTAAGGCACAAGCAACCAACCGTCAGGAACTCTCTCAGCCCCAGTGGATGAGCGCAGCTTAAAGTCTACGTCGCCAGACAGCTCATTGGCTTGACTTCCTGGCAAACTTTGATAGCGTTGTGTTTTGGTGCCAAAATGCGTGGGGGCAACCAGCACGCGCACCGGCAAGCCACACCTGAAATCCTGCACCCGCGAATTCGGGAGGAGAGCCACATCGGTCACCTCTCAAGCAGTAGTTCTGTTTGCCGCTAAACAGCGTCAACAGCACTACAGCAACGAGAAACATTGTAACAGTACAGCAGGGTGGCAGGCGTACGTATGCCTGCGAGCAGACCCGTCGCACAACAGCGAAGTTCCACTGGTGCCTCTTCTTATGCGAACAAGCTTGACGGCACTCCACTTTTAGGTCTCTAAAAGACCCCTACACTCGACGCTTCTTCTGAAAAGGCTCCCTACATAAGAAAGCCTGGGGCTATAACCGTGAAACCGCCGTCACGTTATCGTACAAAGATCATCCCCTCCCCCTACAAGCTTGGGTTTCAGCCTAGAGCAAGCGTCCAGAATTCTGCAAGCTCGAGAAGGCCGCAGCATGCCAACCCGATGAAACCAGCCGATAGCAGTGTCACAATTCTCAGCTCCCCTTTTTTTTTCGAATTTACTTGTCTGCAGGTCTGCCTCAACGGCCTATGGCGCACTCACGCACCAGATTTTTGAGTTTCCGGTGCTTGCTGTGCGTGCAGCACAACTATGCGACCCACAAAAGGCAGCAGGCGTTTCCTACTCTTAGTTGTGCCCTCGAGGCAATTTCAAGGAATAACGTGCTAGTTTCAGTCGCTGGTCTCGCAGCCACACTTCTCCCTGAAGTATATATTTTTTGCCCTTTTGTAGCAAGATTGCGCCTACGTACCTTACGTGGTAACTCATGAGCAGTCTTAAGAGTCACCGGAAACACGAAGCAAAACTATAAGGGACACGAAAGAATTGCGTCCAAGTTTGCTACGGCTGAGGGCAGCGAAGCTACAACTACAGGAGAAGGATGAGGAGGTGGGCAGCCCACATTGAAAAATAGTGTCCGCTGATTAGGGATGCCAAAGAACGAAAGCCAGTAAGCCAAAAGCCCACATAAAAGGTGGTTCAGGTATCAGTGCGAGAAACAGCGTTTCATGCGGCGACGCCCTGGGGGGGCTGCTAGCAGGCGCGAAGAGTAAATTAAGGCGTAGCTAAAAGCGGGATTTAGCTCACTTTCAGAAGTTCCAAACAGAAGTGCCACCTCACTGGGAATTACTAACATCAACACCTTTTCTGATGCAGCGAAAACCAACTGCAGTGTTACAGTGATACGATTTAAGACATACTAGATTTAAGGAATTTGTAAAAACTCCGGTCTACATAGGCTACAACTTGAATTGTCGCCATGTGCCATGTGCAAGTCGGAATTGAAGGGCTCGTACATAGGCGAAGGTATATGTGCCTGTAAGACTGCTACCTCATTGACTTTTACACTTTTTCTTAAAAAAACAGGGATATTCCAGAGGACTTTTTAAATACAGTATCTATGCATGCGGGAGTTCATCCTCGGGGGCCCCAGGGACGAAAGCCCCGTCAAAGCAAGAGTGGTGCGCAGTTGTCTTATCTTTATTCGGTTCGGATTACAACTTGGGAATGAAATTTGAGGAAGTTCAAAGCTAAATTTGTTTCGTAGAGGTATGTCTTACGTATTGCTAATTGTGCACGTAATTGCAGTGGGCTTGGGATTGGAGCTTGAAGTTTCGTTTCGATGGTGTCTTCTTTCTAGTCAGCAGTTGATTCAGCCGCTCAAATTTTGTTGATTGAATGACAAACAAGCAAAAAAATTCAAGTGTACTTAATACAAACCATCAGCTACCATGCGGCCGTCTGGGGACACTGGCTTCATCCCACGGTAAGTGTCTCAAGTTTACTTTGAAGAAAATGCATCCGGCGAAGTTAGCCATTGCTCGCAGACCCCAGAGTTCAGGTGGAAATAGCTCGATTTTTCCCACCTGTTTTGAGGTGGATCTGTGGCTGGTTTTCGAGCTGCATGTATGCTGCAGATTTGAGTGGATGCAGAATGCGGAGAAGGTCTTCATTTCATTTTTTGTGAAGTCTCTTCAGCCTGAAGACGTTAACATCTCCACATCTTCGCAAAGTATCACTGTGGAGATTAGAAATCCAAGCTCAAAAGGAGAAGCAACAGATCAAAACAAAAATTACACATTTCGTGTTCAGAAGCTCCGGCACGAAATCATCCCGGAGCAAAGCTCTCATGAAATATACAACGTGAGTCAGTTCGGTCTCGTGGTGTTACATCTAATTTTTCAGAAGTTGGGGGCACACACAATATAGGTTTCTGCGAAAATAGAACTGAGCATAAACTAAAACGCGGCATATTGGCGTCGACCAAAATTCGTGGCACTTGCCAACTTCTTTGCAGCACACTTTAGTTTATCCCCTTCTGTTAGCCTGAGCTCAAGTTAAACGTGCAGTTTCCTCTCAGACGAAACTTGAAGTTGTATTGGCAAAGAAGGAAGTGGGGCAAGCATGGGCGGCCCTAGAAGCAGTCAAGGAGCACTGCCCAGAGCAGCCGCAGTTGCAGCAGGAGCAGCAGCAACAGATGCCGCAGCCAGAAGCTCCAGTGACGCGGGTGTATCCTTCCTCGAAGAAGAAGGTAGACTGGGACAAAGTTGAGAAGGTATACTGCCTATGCACTTTTTGAAGAGTATTCGCATTTTTATAAAAAAGCGTCAGTGTTTTCTCGCCACATTTTAGTTACTTCCTGACCCCATCATTCTTGAGCAGTATGCATTTCTCCATCGTTTCCAGCTTGCGCTGCTACATATTTGATTGCTGATATTTTCATGCTGAGCACCACTGGCATAAGAGCAACTGCACAAGGAGAGTATCTCATCCCATGGTAGTAGGAGTCACTGTAAATCGCTTCACATTGCACAGTGGTTGGATTTTCACTGCGTTAGCCAACTTTTTTCCTTAGTTGGTTACTTGTGGCTTCAGGAAATAACAGAGGAACTAGAGGCCGAGCAGCTAGAGGGGGAACAAGCTCTACAGAAATTGTTTAGAGACATATACGGCAGAGGAGACGAAGATACTCGGAGAGCTATGATCAAGTCGTTTGTGAGTAGAGCAATCCATTAATCAGATTAGCCAATCAACTAACCATGAGCTAGAGG